GGAACTGCACCTCCCAGTAATATCTTCCAGCCCTGCTGACTTGGGAGAACCGGAGAGGTGTAGTCTACAAAAAGTAACTTTCCTGTTGTCCGATGGCAGGTGGATGACGGGGAATATTTTTCTGCAGCCTGAACTCTTGGGGGGAATTTCTGCATAGGCAGAGCAGTCAGGAGAACAAATGGGGGGAGGTGTGGCCCTCCAGCTGCTCTGGGACTACATCTCCCAGTAGCCCCAGTGGCCAGGGATAAGGGGATTCCTTGTCTAGCAACATCTTGGACATCAATAGATTCAGGGCTGGCCAAGTGTGTAATGGTTAGAGCAGAGGTGGAAAACTCAACTTCTTGGGCCGCATCGGCCTTATGGTTGCCCTTGAAGGGCCGGTTGTCTCTGCAAGACTATATAAATGTATCTGCTCTTTATCATATTAAATATAATCCTCCTCATTCAATTATCACTTTCTGATTTTTCGCTGCTTGGAATGCCGGGATTAGAAATCCCCGCTGGGTGGATTCTCAGCATCCTTGCGGGAGCATTATGGGTGACCGAGTAAGCACCTGCGTATTGTATACGGCACAGTACCAGGCAACATTGCAAGGGCCACATGAAACGGCCCAGCGGGCCAGATTTGGCCCGTGTGCCTTGAGTTGGACACATGTGGTTTAGAGCCTTGGACTGGGAGATTCCAGTTCAAGTCTAGCTCACCTACAGGACCTACAGTTGATTTAAAAAAAACAACAACATAGTAAGACCTGCCATTCACAGTGCTAGTAAAAGTGAACGCCTTTCTGAGAATCACACAGGTTGCATGGTGTTTGGAATCACAACAATGTGAACCAGCATTGCTTTCTGGCGGTGTGAGGACAGCTCTGCCCAGTAATCTCCGGACATTTGGTGGCTGGCAGACGGCTCTCAGAGAAGACTTGCTGATGGTTTTGGGGCACGGCACTCTGAGTTTGCTAATGATGGACAGCTTTCCCTATTATTATTGTTGTTGTTGTTGTTTAAAATATTTGCCGTGTCATGATTTGGATCAACTGATTTATTATTGTAAATATGAAGGGGGCATTTCTATGGGTGGTGTTTTGGTGATACTAGACAGTTGGGGTGTGATATTCAGGACTGTGGGAGCACTCTCTCCTACATTGCCCCCATATTCTCCAAATTTACATATATAAGATTAGTGCTAGATCAACTTATCACCTTATCATTGGTGTTGATATACTAGTTTAGTGCTAGATCACCTCTGGATAGGATTTTAAAAAAATACAAATGAAAGAGAAATAACTCAGACAAAATATATTTGTGTCATATTTGGTATTTGGTATCCTGTGGTATTTGGTATTTTTCAAAACTAAGTGGCTTGATAATGAACTATGAAAGGATCCATAGAGGCAGGACCAGAGGAAGGAAGGAAGGAAGGTAGGAAGGAAGGAAGGAAGGAAAGAAGGGAAGCTATGGGCTGAAATAGAAATCACTTCACATTGCATTGAGCGTGTACACTGAACTCCCAAATCAATCTGCAACCCTTATGTGACCACTGACTACCGATTCGACTGCAATTAGAGGCTGCGAATCAATCACAGGATCACAGCCTGATTCTAAGAATCAAGCTGTATAGAATATTCCTTTTTATGTTTTGGATGGTAAGATTTCCAGTCAAGACACACGTGGGCATCAGGGGGGTGAGATATCATAAATGTCAGTGACAATGTGGTTGTTCCCAGGAACATCAAGAAAGGGAATGGATGATTTTTCCATGGTGC